GAAAGGGCAGGAAGACCGCTACGGTGCCTGCTGACAGCCTGACCCACTCACCTTTCTCTTCACCCTCCATTAGCAAGATGGGCACACTGAGCGGGGACAGTCTTGTCAGTGAGGGCTGGGGTGGTGTGGGGGACACAAAGGGTTCTTTACCCTTTGCTTAGCCAGGGCTGCCTAAGCTAAGAATCAAAGACTGCTCCCCAGGTTGGGAGTCTAGCTACAGTGGAAAGATCCCTGCACACCCCAGCTCTAGCTGTTACGTTACCCCATACACGGGATAAAGGTGGCCTCCAGTCCCTGGTGTCAAGACTGGGGCCTAAAAACCACAGACACCCTGGCCTGGTCAGCTCCGCACAAGCCAAGCTTCCTACTGGAAGCACCTTGGGGACGGTTCAGCAGTTGACTGGCCCTGCCCTGCAGTAAGGAGGTCTAGGCCCTGAGGGCCTTGCATGGGCTCTGGGCCAAATATTTCACTTATATTAAAATTCTCCCTTGGCTGTGGCCAATATCCCCAGGGCCACATGTGATTTGCCAAATCAGTGAGATGGAGAAAGTGAGAGACAGGAGCAATAGGAAACAAGAAAGTAATCAGAACATAACCTAAAAATGCAGCTCTCACAGCTGGCCAAGTCAGTAGCTTCACCCCACCTTGCAGATGAAGACACTGAGGCTTGCAAGGGCCAACATCCTGCCAAAAGCTGACATGTGAAGACTGTGTGGTGTGTGGCGGGTGAGGAAGGTCAGTAGACTGTCTGGGCCTCTGGGCTGCCAAGGTCCTCTTTGCCCACGCAGAATGTGGGTGACCTCAGGGGTAAACATAGTTGGCAGTTGCCAGGAGCCTCTCAAGAACCTTCTGAGGGTCAAAGGGGCCAGCAGCTGCCCACTCACCGCCCTAGGCAAGAAAGTGTTTTTATGGGGTCTAGGACAGTTGTAAAGTCCATGCTCCAGCTGGCCTGCAGGCCCTGAGAGGGTGCTGCTCGGGCCCAGCAGGTCCCAGAGCCTGGAGCCTCCCAATCAGTTAAGCTCAGCAGGAGGTGGGGATGTCTGGGGTGTGGGAATCGAAATAATTCCCAGCATACCTGGGCCTGGGAGTGGGGCTGAGCGTGCTCTGAGAGGCCCTGAAGCGCCAGTCCATCTGAGAGGGAAAACCAAGCCCCAAGTCTAGCCCTGGCACCAGCACGGGCCACTGCCATTTGGGCCAAACCTTCCAGGCTACATCTAACATGACTGCCTTGTCTTGTATCACTGACCTCCTCTTACAGATGTAGACCACAGAGCGCAGAGCTGGGCAGGGACTGCCTGAGGCCACATGGCAGAGCTGGGCACCACACTAGGTTGGTGGGAGTATCTGGGCAAAGCAATGTCCTAGAAAGGGACACTACAGGGGTAGGGGCAGCAAAAACAAAGAGTGAGAAAAGGCAGGGAGGGGCTTGGAGCTGAGGGTGCACTCACCTGGATTCCATCCCCATACTGTGCACACAGGTGCAGGGCAGAATGTGATTTCTGCACAAATCAAAGCTGCCCTCCTGCCGACAAAGAGGGACTGTCGGACAAGACTCTCTTCCTGAGGGTCCTGGGGTCAGGTGAGGGGGCAATGAACAACTTGCTCACATGGCTAGTAAGTGGTAGAATTTGGATTAAAAACACATTTTTTTTTTGACTATTACACACATATCCCCTGAGAAATGGTTTTCAGCATAAGCTCTTCCAGTTGGAGTTAATAGCAGGAATGAGCAGTCAGGCAAGGTGAGAGGGCCGAGAGTAGGGGAGATGGCCTGAACCTCATCACTTTGCTCCATGTCCTCCAGGTGACCTGTGGCAGGTCTGAGCAGTGGCTTCCCATCAGCAACCCCTCCTTTGTATAAAGCACATGCTGAGAGCCCCAGAGCAGCTGGCACATAGTAGGCCCACAGGGAAGGTCAACCCAGATTAAGCTTTGTTTGTTCTCAGTCCCTCCTATCAGTCCCTGCATCAGTGACTTTTGAGCTCTGAAGGAAAAAGGGTGAACTTTGAGAACAAATCCTAGCCACTGCCTTTCCTACTGAAGGAGGTAAAGAACTGTGGGGTGGGGAGGTGATATAAAGGTCTGAGGCCTTGAGGTAGAGAGGAAAGTCCAGGTGAGTGGCCAGGAGGCCCAGCCTGGTTTCAGTGTAGAGCCTGACTAGAAGGAATATTAACCCACCTTGAAAATAAGCTTGGGGTGTGGAGCCTCCACAGGAGAGGGAGGACAGGTCTTGCCCTCCCTCCCTGCCAACATCTCATCAGGGTCTGCGGGTGTGGTCACCCATGCCTACTTTTCCTCCCAGAACCCACCAGTCCAGCAACGACCAAGCAGGACGGGTGAGAAACAGGAGGTACACGCAGCAGTCCCTGAAGGCCCCAAGGGCCACCAGATGCCTCACAGCCTTACCTCTACCCCAGGGGTGCCAGGTCAGGTCACACCCAGTTCCCACAAGCTGGGCACCTGGACTATGGCGGGGGCCTACGATGGGCCAGATGCTTGATCCAAGCTATCATTTCCTCATAGGCCTGTTTGCCCATAGGGAAATAAGTCTCCCAGAGTGGCCCTAATTCTGCTCACCCAGCAGTAAGGTTGATGAGCTAAGCAAGTCTGGTGGCTTAAGAACCAGAGGTCTTGGGTTCAGCTACCTACTCCTCATGTATGGCAGATGTTGCAGCTACCATGAAAACAAGCCCAGGAGGTTCCTCACAGTGTTAAACATGGCGTTAGGTGACCCAGCAATTCCACTGCTAGGTACATGCCCTTGAGAAATGAAGACACACATTCACGCAACACTTACACAGCTGTTCACACCAGTATTACTCATAATCAAAATATGGAAACAATCCACATGTCCACCAGTGAGTGAATAAAATGTGGTCTGTCCAAACAAGGAATATTAATCAGCCATAAAAAGGAATGGAGTACAGATATACAGAATACAAGGTGAACCTTGAAAACATTATGCTCGGTGGAAAGTCACAAAGACCACATATCATATGGCTCCATTTACATGAAATGTTGAGAAGAGGCAAGTCCATAGGGACAGGAAGTAGGTTAGGGTTGCCAGGGGCTGAGGGAGGGGTGGGGAACATGGAATGCATGCTGATGGGTATGGTTTCTTTTTGGGAAAATGTTTTGGAATTAGTGGCAGTGGTTGCGCAACTCTGTGAATATGCTGGAACTACTGAATTGTACATCTTAAAGGGGTGAATTATATGGCATGTGATTTATATCTTGATGAAACTCTTACATTCCCTACTCTTGATTTCATGGTGGTTTTTTTTTTGTGCAAGGTAATGAACCATTTAGTGCCTCAGTTTCCTTATCTGTAAAGGGGGCCAGTATTTGTTCTACATGATAAGGATTATGAGCATTAAGCGAGTTAATATACCAAATGCTCAGAGCAGCTGTCTCGTGGGGTACTGGGCTGACTGCCACCATGATGCCCCGGCTCACTACCCTCCAATTGGCCAGGCTCTTACTCTTACTAGGATTTTTGTAAAATATGCAAAATATAAAATTTACCACCATAAGCATTTCTAAGTGTACAATTCCGTGGTGTTAAGCAGTCACGCTGTTGCACCCTCCATCTCGAGGACCCCTCCTATCTTGCAAAACCGAAACTATACTGAACCCACAACCTCCCACTGGTGCGTGCCCCCCACTCCCATGAACCCACAACCTCCCATTGGTGCGTGCCCTCCACTCTGTTTTCTCTGTGAATATGACGACTCTAGGTACCTCAGCTAAGTGGAATCATATGGTGACTGGCTTATTTCATAGAAGCATAATGTCCTCAAGGTTCATCCATGTTGTGTCATGAATGACTTTCCTTTTTATCCTGATCATATTCTGGCTGCATGCACCCCATTTTGCTGTCCAATCTGGCAAAACACAAGAGTTGCTTCCACCTTTTTAACTGTTATAACACTGCTATGAATAGGGGTGGACAGGTAAGACCCCAAGTTTTTAAGCACAGAACTTGGAGGTCAGAAAAAGTCCAGCATGTGCCACAGCCACGTGCTGCACAGCCACGTTCTGGCCAACGACAGATGATGGCGGCCCCTCAGTGTAGCTTAGGTGGGTGGTAGCTATACCATCCAGGTTTGTGGAATTGCACCCCATGATGTTTGCATGATGACAAAATCACCTAATGATGCGTTTCTCATAAGATATCCCAGCATTGCATGCCTGCCTGTATTCATGGCAAGACAAGTGTGAGGCATCTGGAGCTGAGTTTCCTTTCAGAAGTTTTATTTAATATACTTGCAATAAATCAAGTGGCTAAAGGTTTGAATGAACCATCAGCTGCTGGAGATCTCAGTGGGCCTGTCAGCCTGTGCCAGGAGTAGCACCAGGCCACTGTGGAGGACCCACCCACTGGCCTTGGTAGAACTCCAGCACATTGGGACTCAGCAATTTTACTTAGGGTGGTTCCTCATACCAGAGGTCTGTTATGAGCAAAGAAAAGAAAACAAAAAACTTGCCAGGCCTGTACAGACCCAGAAGAAAGCAATTCAGTACTCTACAGCTATCACTCTTGATCTGGTTCTGAGGTCTGGACATGCACTTGGGGTAAGGATGAACCCTCCCAACCTACACCCGGAAGCATAGGTAATCTCAGGAAATCACCCACCAAAACCCAGGGTGGCTTCCTGGAGGAGGTGATGCTCTAGCTTTAAGGACTTTCAAAAGCTGCAGTTGGACTAAAGCTAAGGAGCTCACATATTCTGGTTTTCTGTTATTTGGGGTTATTACTTCTTGTGCTATCTCTTATTCTCAAGTATCCCCATCTGGATGATAAATGACATAGTCACTGACTATATTAGTTATCCATTGCATAAGACCTTACCCCAAAACTTAGTAGTTTGTATTTCTTAGTTCCTATGGGTTAAGCATTTGGGCACAGCTGAATTGGGCATTTCTGGCTCAGGATCTCTTATGAGGTCATAGTCAAGATGCACGGGGTGGGGCTGCCTGGGGTAGGGAGATCTGGTTTCAAGGTGGCTCATTCACTGGGCTGGCTGTTGGCAGGAGGCCTCACTCAGTCCCTTTCCATTGTGGGTATCTCCACAGGGCTGCTTGACAGCCTCACAACATGGCAGCTGGCTTCCCAGAGTAAGGAAGGGTGTGTGTGTGTGTGTGTGTGTGTGTGTGTGTGAGAGAGAGAGAGAGAGAGAGAGAGAGAGAGAGAGAGAGAGAACACAGGCAGAAGCTATGCCTTAGCCTTGAAGAGAGAGAGAAAGCACACAGGCAGAAGCTATGTCTTAGCCTTCAACACTCAAGGCATTGCATCTGTCATATTTTACTCCCTAGAAGAAAGGAGTAAAATGAAGACCCCCTCCCAAGTTCCCATTTAAAGGAGGGGGAAGCTCTAGCTTTTAAAGGGACGCATCAAAGAAAGAATTTGGGATATTTAAAAACTACCAGTTACTCTAAAAATAGGGCAAGTGTGGTGTAGAGATGGATGAGCCCTGAGAGAACAGAAGTCAGATCAAGGAACAGTCTGAGCAGGGGGCAGTCTAAGCAGGAGGGCAGTCTGAGCAGGGTGCTGCGCGAGGCAGGAATGTGGTGAGGGATGCAGAGGGAACCATGCCACCGCCCCCTGCACCAGTCTCTAGTCTCTAATGTGGCCATGTGGCCCCCACTCAGCCCTTGTACTACCAGCTGTCCCCTCCCTCTGGGCCTTGGGGCTTCTCACTCTGGTGGGAACACACCTTTCCTTCCTTCTGGACACAAGCGTCTTTTGTGTTTCCCATGCCCCCTCCCACTCCCCATAGCTGGTGCATGCTGCTGGGCTTCTGCACAAATAAACACACCAGTGTGCATCAAACCCAGGCTGTGGTCACACCAGCCTCAGGTCACATCTGGCACTCTGCACACCCTTCTCTTTCCAGCCTCCAGGCTTTAGCTATTTCTCCTGCCCAGTGGGCTTGGGCTGTGCTAACCCCGGAAGGCACTGCCTTGGAGGCAGACGGAAGGTAGGGAACCTGCATGGATAACTGAAGGAAGAGATGAGGGGGACTGGGAATGTAGCAGGGGCAGTGGGCACAGGCAAGGAGGGGTGGGCCATGCTGAGCAGTTGGATGTGGGGCAGGCCAAGAACAGCCCTGGGCTTCCATACTTGGTGCTTAGGAGCTGGCGTAGAGCCAGGCCCTTCCTTGGGGGCAGCAGCAGGTCACGGTTACCCTGGGGGAGGGGTGAGATGAGAAATTATTCTGGGGCTCATCCTGTACCCTTTTTACCTGTACAGCTCCCCATTTGTGCCCACCCTCTCCTGCTCTCTGCCCACTTTGGCACCGCTACCTCCAGACTCAGTTCAAATGCTGCCACCTCCTCCAGGAAGCCTTACTCACTTGCATCTCTGGGGTCCTAGGCTGCCCCTTTCAGAGGTCCTTAAATGACCAGAGTCCTGAGCTGGGTTTCCAGAAGGCAGTGACAGAATCTTTACTTCCTAAAATCAGAGTAACTGTATTGTGTGTAAGGAGCCTTAAAACCATGGGCTTTTCAAACTCTGCTCCCACAGACTGGCTTTACCAACTCAACCAGGGCATTTTCTCTCTCAGTGAACACTTAACTGGAGCTCACAGAGGACCAGGAGAATGCAAAGTGTCTCCTGTATTCCTCACAATAGCCCAGGCAGTAGGCATGAGCACGGTCCCTGCTTTAGTGGTAAGAAACTTACAATACAAAGGTCAAGTAACTTGCCCAAGGTCACACGGCCAGGATGTAGCCATGTTGGTGTTCATGGATGGTGCTATCCCACGGTCTAACTCCCTGCCAGTCTGTCTTTCCCTGGATTGCAATCGAATGGAGGCCCCAGACCAATGCACTTTGGAGAACTATGAAGACTTTGGATTTTTGCAATTTTAAGCTTTTCTCCTGCAAATGCCTCTTCAGTCTTCAGCGCTCATTCTGGCTTGCTGGTAAGAGTTTCCACAGGCAGCAGCACCAATGAATGAGTGCAGGCCCAAATGAATGAGAAGACCTGCAGACAGCAGATCTGGTGTAGGTGGGTATGGGGGTTTCAGGGAGCAAATGCTCCCTGCTTACTCACCTGTGTGTTTTCTGGCCAATCACATGAGATGTGAGCATTTCGTGGCCAGAGTGTTGCAACTTCCTGCCCCATGAACACAGTTCAAGCTAAGGACCTTGCCCAGGTGCCACTGCTGTGGCCTTTCTGCTAAGTGATAGGAAATCCAAACCAGTGTGCTTTTAGGCTTGGCTGATGGTCATGCAGACAAGCCAGGGTTCTATGGCCAGGGTTCAAATCCTGCCACTTGGGTGCTTAAGTTCTTCACTTTCCTTATCTGTAAAGCGGGGGCAACACACCCTCAACTTTAGAGGGTTTCTGTGAGGATTAAATGAGCTAATAGAAGCACAGTGCTTGGAACAATGCCCGGAGTGTAGTAAACGCTTTAGAAGTGTAGGCTAGTGTGGCTGTCATCATTGATTTTTACTGTATACTTAGTAATTGTTCCCAGCTTTGCCTTATAGGGTCACGGAGAACAAATCCAAGTCCCAGAAAAGTTGCACTAGAATACGTGATCAGACCCTTTGCCCAGCTGGGCTGAACATCCTCAGTCCCCCAACTAGTTTCCAGGGTGCTGAGACCCTCTCAGCCTTGCCTGATTGTACAGGGGTGGTCCAGGCCACTATAAGGTCTGAGGATGTCCTGGTAGTACAGAGCACAGGTTTCAGCAGGGACTGAGAACTTCCATCACACCAGGCACACACTGCCAGGCCTGCCCCCTCAGGTCTGTGGCCACTGGGAGCTGCAAGGCTCGTGGCTGCGGGTTGAGGGCCTGGCAGTGTGTGCCTGGTGTGATGGAAGTTCTCAGTCCCATGATTGACCTGCCTGGAAGCTGACTGGGGTGTGAGAAGCACAAAGGTTTCTTCCCCCATACCACCACTAAGAGCCCACAGAGTGGCTGGGTTGTGTAGCTCCCAGATCTACATGGGATCTGGCTAGCTGGCCCTGACCCTGCTGAAACCTGTGCTCTGTACTACCACCAGGCACACACTGCCAGGCCCTCAACCCGCAGCCACGAGCCTTGCAGCTCCCAGTGGCCACAGACCTGAGGGGGCAGGCCCCAGCCGTATCTGTGAATCCTGACTGGTTCATGATGATCCAGGCTGCAGTGGTGAGCCTTGACTGGTCTGTGGTGGTCTCATTCCCTGTGCCAGTGATTGGTGGAGGCATGCTCAGTTCTGCTCAATCAGATGAGGAGGTCCATATAGGAGGGGGTGTTTCCTGGGAAGGTTTCTCAGAGACAACCTGGTGGCAAGTCTTTTCCCTTCACTGGGTTTCCTCCTGATTAGAAGGCACCACCCAACCCCCATTACACAGTGAGCCCCACCGTCAAGCCAAAGGTGGCCACATAAAAAGACCCGAAGACCAGGCTCCTCGATGGCATCATCAAGCCTTAACCAAGCCTGAAGCAGGTAGGCACAAAGTCTTACCACCCAAAGTTCAAACTTCTCCTGCGCAGGCTAGCTAAGTGATGGCTTTGGTTATTTGGCCAAAGCAGCTGCTATTCGCAGGTCACACTTCATCTTCTTGAGATTAAGTCCAACGTAGCAGAAGGATGGGTCTGAGCTCAGCTGTGCATTCAGGGAAGACTTCCTGGAGATGGGGTTAAAATGGAATCTAAAAGAACAAGCAGGAGGATAAAGGGGTAGGGCAAGGGGTAACATTCCAGGCAGACAAAACAAAGGACTGAGGTTGGAGACACCCTAGGGTGTGGGGGGAAGAGGCATGCAAGCATGAGAGTTTTAGAATTAATCTTTGTAGCTGGGGGCCATGAAAGATAAGGCTGGAGAGAGGTGGGTGGGCCACAGATGGCCCTAAGCCAGGTCACAGAACTTCAGGTTTAGCACAGGATGGACAGAAAACGCTGTGGCTAACTTTGATTTGCTCTCCCAGGGTCTAGCCCTTCGGCTGTGCCTGGAATAAGTGCACTGAGTCTTCAGGCCCCCCTATTCCAGCCAAGCCCTGAAGAACAAGAAAGACAAAGGGCAGAGGTGCTGGGCCTTGCTGCTCCAGGTGTGATTCTGCCTGTCTCTTCCAGCCCTCAGGGCACTCATAAGAGACTATCTGAAATCTGGGTCACTCTGTGCATGAGTTGGACATCCATCAAACAGGCAGTTACTAAGTCACTACACTCTGCCGACAAAGCAGAGTGCTAAGCACTGTGGAGAAGGGATCTGGTTCAAATCCCAATTCTGTTTCCTCCCAGCTGTGTGACCTTGAATAAGCCATTTTACATCTCCAAACCTATTTAGTATCTTCACCTCTTTATAATAGATGGTGAAATAAATGGCAGCACTTATTATCTCTGGTACCATAGGGGTGGTGGGGAGTAAGAAGATGCAAAAAAGCTTCCTGAGAGTAGTTAGTAACGTAGGTGGGAGAACAAGACAAGCAAACAATATGCTGTAATAGACAGAAGTTGGGATGTGATGAAAGGTTCAGGGGAGGGAGCCTCTGCGCTGGGCTGTGAGAAGTCGAAAGTCTAGAGAGGTGATGAGGGACAAGCATTCCTGGTGGAAGCAAAGGTGGGTAGAAGGAAAACAGAACACTTAGAGTTTCCATGCTGTGCTCCTAAAGTTTTCAGAACACAGAATGTTGCAACCAGAAAGATTCTGGACATAACTGTTGGATGCAGGCATCATTCGCAACCTGTAATAGCAAAGTTCTGTGCTTAAAACAGAAAGATGCAGATTATCTATCACTTACTGTGTGACCTTGAGCAAGTTACCTAGCCTTTGGGCCTCTGATTTCTCTGTAAAGCAGGAATAATACCTAATTCGCAGAGGTGTACCAGCCTATGTACAGGATCTGGGGAGGAGAATCCCCTTTACCACTGAGCTAATTCCTATTTTATTTTATTATTTTTTTAAGATTCATTTATCTATGCATTCATTTATCTATGCATATTCATTAATCTATGCGGTGAAGGCCAGAGGTGTGGAGGGTCGGGTGGGGGTGGGAGGATTCACCAGAGACAAGAGTGGGGAGCAGAACAGGTGAATCTACTGAAATACACTGCTGAGGGGAGCAGCGGGTGAGATAGGAGAGGTCTGCTGCACCATGTGGGTCACCTCCCTGGCAGGAATTGAAATTGTGCTGCAGTGGCTGCGGATTGCTTCATAGTGCTGAGACTTAACCCCTTGCAGGGGGCCCCCCTAATTCCTATTTTAAGGCCCTAAGATCCAGTGCCACCTCCTGCAGGAAGCTTCCTAGGCTTCCCCAGAAGTCCCCCGTTCCTGACTGCACCCTGTTGTATTGTGATAACCTCTTTTCTTCTCTCTCACCAGATTCTGGACTTCAAAGAGGGAGGTTATGTTAGCATCTCGTAGAGCCAGCTGCACTATCACAGAGTGGAGACTCATGCCACCCCCTCCCCAAGCCTCTAACCCCAGGTAGACAGGAGAGGGAGGATATGACTAAGTCTGCTGGGGGTGGAGTGAAGAGGGTGTTCAGAAAACTTGGTGGAGGGTCCAGGCAGAGATGGAAGATGTGCAAGAACCAAGCACAGAGGTGTGGAAGGAGGGATGAAGTGTTTGGGGGACCCTAGAGTATTAGCCAGAAAGTAGCAGGGATCTGAGGATTCTGAGTGCAGATCCCAAAAGGCCTCAAAATACCATGCTAAGGATCTGACCCTATAGGGGGTGACTAAAAAACTGTCCACAGGAGCACAGATCCTTGGGGGTTGAGACACTAGTTGAGGCTCTGCTGAAGTTGGAGGGGGTGGAGTGGAGAAAACAGGAGGCTATGGGCCACCACTTGGGGGCAGGTATACTGGAAGAATCAAAAAGGACCAAAAGTTCTACCTGGATAAGGGAGTATTGCAAATAGCTTCAAGAGAGCCACACCCCGGGCTGGGACCCTTTCCACTTGCTAAAAAGCCATTTTCCACAATCACCCCATGTGAGACACACAGAGCAGTTTCATGAAAACCAGTGGGCCGAGAGTTGCTGTCTTCATTTTACAGCCAGACATAGTGACAGCCGGAGAAAGAAAGGGACCTGCATGGCCACTGAGGCAACAGGAGGCCATAACCACCCAAAGCTGGTATCTTGGCCCCTGAGTGAGCACCGGGAGGCAGCCATATGACAAATGTGCTCAGCACCTTCTGCAGTCAGACCCAGGAGACACGGAGATAACCTTTGACCTCTGAGTCATCTTGAGACTGGACTGGTCACCTGGATCTCAGACCAGCTACCTCCTGCAGGAGGGAAAAGAGGACCCATTGAGGGGCAGGTATTCCCTGTCACAAGGCAGGCCCCAATGCCTATCTTAAGTCCTCCAAATTGGACTCTAAGGTGGGGGGGTCCGTCCCTACACAAAAGGGATAGGGGCAGAGGGAGTCCACCCTTTGCTGCCTTTCAAAGAAGCCCCCAGTGTCCCCTCCTCTTAACACCCAGGCCCAGCACAGCCGCAGCCTGAGTCATCATCCCCTTTGAATGGTGGCCAGCTAGGGGGGCTGCCTGGGAACCAGGGCCAAGGGTTGGAAAAACAAGGGGGTTTTCTCTTAACTTCCAGTCCTGGAACCTCAAGACTGGCAAGGGGGTGGGGGGCAGAGGGCAGGCAGATTGAGGAATGGGAGGGGGTCAACAGTCAGAGGGGGCTTTGTGGTGGGTAGGGGTAGGTGGGGAATCTGAACTGGTGGCTTTTGTTTTCAAATGATCTGTTTAATAATTGCCTTAGCAATCAAAGAGGCAAGGCTGGGGCGCCAGGGGAGGACTTCAACTCTCCATACCCCACCGATCAGCAGATCAGCAGCCGGAGAAGAAAGTAAACAAGATGCCACCGGCAGATTTCGCTCCATCTCGCAAACAATGGCGGGACTGAGCTCCCGGCTCAGACACACACATCAAAGTGAGATTTCCAGGCAAGAACTTTAACAGGCAGATAAGCGGCTAGGATTGAATGATTTCCCTGCATCCCTGGAGCTCTCTGGGGTTCAGCGCCTAAGGGGGGCAGCTGGGGGGAGGGGGCGTTGGACGTTAACCTTGACCTGTAATTTATTCATTCATTTTGCAGCCACGGATAATCTCCCCGCGAAGAACCCAACCAGCAACAACTTCATCATCCCTTCCCACAGTCACAATGGTGGACAAACAAGGGATTTAAGTTACAGCGGCCAGCTCCTACTCACACTCCACTGGGCTAGGGCTGCTAAGACAAAAAAACACCCTAATCCATGCACCCACCGGGGCTCACAAAGTCAGATCCTGACCTGGCAGTGGAAAATCCAACTTGGTTTTTCTTTCTTTCTCTTTTTTTTTTTTAACCTCCCAAGGCCTTCAACTATTTTTCCCCCTGCAGCATCCAAGCCCAGCCTCAAGGCAGAGCCATAAACATGCCTGCTCCTCCCCCTTCCACGGTTCGGCAAAACACCGCCCCCCCCCACCTTCCCAGACCCTGGGAGAAAGAACCACCTAGCGCCTCACCCGCAGCCCCCTCCTGCCCTCCCCCAGCTCCCCCCGCTGCCGTTCGCAGTCCTCACAGGCACCTTGAGATAAACATCCACTAATGATTTTATGATTTTCGGCTCTGGGGAGCCGCGCTCAGCAGAATCCCTCCCCCCGCCCCGGCGACGGGGGCCGGCCCAACCGAGGGGATGGGGGATGGGGGGTGCTAGTTTGTTTTTCCACTGCCGCGTCCCCACACCTGTTTTTCATTCATTCATTCGTTCGTTCATTCATTCACAGGCTCATCACCGCAGCCTCTCTGGTCCTCGGGGTTTCGGGGAGGAGATGGGAGGGAGGCGGCTGACATGGGGGAGACAGCGGCGGGGGGTGCCTCGGGGGGTCGCGATGGAAGAACCCCGCTCGCTCGGAGGCAGGCTGGCTGGCTTTGTCATAAACAAGGCGAGCGGCGGCGCTGGCCGGTGGGGCGGGGGCGCTCCCGGGAGCTCGAAGTTGTTTTCCGAGCCGCGGCGGCGGGGACGGCCGCCCGGGCGCGCCTCTTTGTCTCTCCCCGGCCGGCGTCGCGTCCCCGCGCGCTCACCTGGTCTTGGAGGACAGGAAGGCAAGTTTGATGAGGCCGTAGGTGAAGAGCGGGATACTCTCCTTGGCGACGCTGGCAACTTGCAGCCGGTGCTCCAGGATGTGGAGTTCCATCGTCCGCCCGCGCGCCGCGGCGGCTCATCGGCGGGGGGCGAGCCGCGGCCCCCGCCCCCTGCGCGCCCAGCCGGCACCGAGCGCCGCGGGCGGCCGGCCGGGGGACCGGGAGCTCGGCGCCGGGCGGGCCGGGGCTGACAAAGGGGAGGCCCGCCAAGTCGCGAGGGGCCGCGGGCGGCGGGCTGGCGGCGGGCGAGGGCGGCAGCGCTGGCGGAGCAGCGGCTCGCGGCGCCCGGCGCGGAGAGCAGCTGGTGTTCGCTTGTAACAAACAACTTGCCACTCAAACCTCGGCCGGCTGAGCATGCGCGGCCGCCGCGGGGCGTGCCGGGAGTTGTAGTCGCGCTGCGCCGGGCGCCGCCGGCTGCTGATGTCAGGGGCTGCGCCGGGGGCCGGCTCGGTGCTCGGGAAACGCCGGGACGCGGGTCCCGTAGGGACACCGGGGGGCCACAGGGTAGAAGCGGGGGCCGTTTCAAGCCAGCCCGAGCCGAGGTGCAGGGTCGGGCCCGCAGGACTCGGGACTAGGCACTTTGTGGGGTAAAGCGAGTCAGTAATACCGGTCCTGGAGGAGGCCCCAGTCCGGGATGGGGGAGACTTGGAGATACTGGTAATTGTAGTGGCGAGAAGCCAAACAGAGCGGGGTGCGGGGGACAGAGATGATGAGGCCCAGGGGTCTAGAGGTTTTCTAGAGGGGGGACATCCCGACTGGGTTCTGAAGGAGGAATGGGAGGTCGCCTGATGAAGGGGGGCGGGGGGCGCGCGAGGTGGGAGACTAGGGGCCTTCCAGGCAGAAGGAACAGAGGAACAGCATGTCCAAAGGCACAGAAGCGTGAAAGCCCCCACGGTGCTGTGTTTGGCTTTGTTGGAGCGGAAAATGTGAGGGAGGAGAGGCAAGAGATAAGGCAGGCGCAGTAACCAGGAGTCGGGTCAAGAAGGGTCATGTGTGCAGAGCTAATGAGGTGGCCGGTTATCCCTCGGGAGAGGGGGTGATGGGGACCGAATGAATTAGGGAGAAGCCTTCCATACATCAGGGCTTCTCACTCTCGGACCCATGTGCCAGTGACCTTGTCCCATAACGTTCAGGTTCCTTCTTAATGGCTGATTGGCTTTGAAAGTTTCTAGGTTATTGGTGCTTTGCCCTTTGACAGAGTAATTTGGGGACGAGATGGGTCAGATCTACCTGCTGGGACAGGCGTTTTTGAGGAAATTTTGGCTGTGCTCTCCCACATTCTTTTTCAGCCCTGTTAGGTAGGGATATCTTAGGTTCTCTTATTTCCAGAAAGGGGTGTGAAGCATACACTCCGGTATCTCTTAGAGCATGTCTGTTCCCATCTTACTTTCTCCAAAGAATTCATCACCCTCTGATAACGATTTTTTTTTTCTATTTTTTACCCTGTTTCTTAGAGAAACTCAACTCGGTGAAGGCAGTTATTTTGTGCTGTTTCCTGCTATGATCCCTGTGAGACACAGTATATGGAAAGCATACTTGCATAGATCTATTCCTTTAGAATCTAGAAATCTAGAAGGCCCAAACAGAAATGCATCCAGGAGCCAGGCAAGTAACATAGATGTGTGAAGCAGCTGGGTATCAGATAGCCAGAAACGGTATTGGAGAAGGGAGGCATGCCTGCAGGCATAAAACTCAATTTATAAAAAACAACCAACAGGTGAAATCAAACAAGGCTAATGACAAGTTTCAGCCAGTTTTCTGACTTCTGCTCTAGATGACCTAAGTCAGTATTTTTCAGTCTGCTGGCCATGGTCCATGAAACTAATTTAGCGGGACATGACTAGCTTTAACATTTTTTTAAAAATAGAAACTGGCACAGAGTTTGCCCATAGTAAGGGCAGCTTACTGTTACCTTTTCCGTGTCTCAGGAAACGTTAATCTTGGGTCATGTGTGTACTCATGTGCATGCATGCATGTATGTGTCTGCATGCATGTACTGGATCTTGATATGAAAGTCTTCCGGTGGGTTTTGGTTAAAAACATTTGAAAACACTGTGAGCTTTCTATTTAATGAAGCCAGACCCTTATAAAGTGTCCAGTTTGACTTGCAGAATTGTGTTCGTTATGTTGTATTTGGTGCGTTGAGATTTTAATGAAACTGACTACTGAACTCACTGTTGGGATTTTAGAGAAAGTGACTTCTGGGTTGCTAAATCCAGAGCCTGGGTTCAGACTGGGACTAGAATGAGGCAAAAGAGACCCTTCAGCTGCCACATTTAAAGAGGCTTTCACTGTCAAGGTCCTGCAAGTGCTAGTTGACACTTTCCCAGTGGCATTCCCTCCCCTCTTGATTCCTTAGCACTGCCCTCTCTGGTCCTCTGGGCTTCGTCTATGGTTTCTTCTCTGCTCATACCTGAAAGGAGTGAAGCCTATGTGCTGTTCCCTCCTCTAGTTACTATTACTACAGTGAATGGCTGCTAGTGAATGTCTCCTAGGATGACCTTTCATGTTGACTTTGGGCTTGGTCATGAAACTTTCTTTGACCAATGAAGTTATATCAAGTGTACTTGCCAAGTCCTGTGCTTGGGACTTGCTCTCTTGGAATGCTGCCCTGAGACCATCAGGCCGTAAAGAAGCCCATGTGAAAGACTACCTGGAGAGAGAGGTGCAAATGTTCCAACTGTGCCAGCTGAGCTCAGTCCCCTGACAACAGCTGGCACCAACCCCCAGATATGTGAATGAACCCATTTTGGATCTTCCAGCTCACTGTCCAGCTGAATGCAGCCACATGAGCAAGCCAGGTGAACGCAGAGGAGGAACTACCCAACCTATACAAACATGGAAAATTATAAATCATTGTTTTTAGCCACTAAAATTTGGAGTGGTTTGTTATACAGCAATTCACGAAGCAGACACGTTCCTTAGACTTCCTCTTCTCTCACTCTATGGGTGTTTCTAGTTGCTGGCTTCCACATGGATAGTTCCAGCTCAGAACATGTTCTGATTCACACCTATAACTCATATTGGTTGGCTTGGCTGATCCAACCTGTTCAAACCTTACTTCATCATCTAAGCCACCTCAGACCTCCTCTTCCTTCTGCAATCCAACTCATGGTTAATGACACCATTCCCAAACTCTCAAGTTACCAGCTCGGGGGGTATGACATGTATTTTCCAAATGGCCACAGCAAGATCTTCCATTCCATTCTGTATGCTCATCTCACAACATGACATTGACAATTATCCTGTTAGGAGGTAGGTCCATGTTCCCTCACTTGAGCAGACTGTGACTAAAGCAAAAAAGAAAAAGAAGATATATGACTTCTGAAGCCAGCTCATAACAGGTGATACCGCTTCCTCCTGGTTCTTCTGTGATACTCTTGACCCCATCAGCAGTGCTGTGAGGGGGCATGGGCCACGTGGACAGACCACAGTTAGGCTCTCGCATTGGTTTGCTTGGACTGTGTTACAAAGTACTGCAAACTGGGGGGCTTAACAGAAATTCATTGTCTTGCAATTCTGGGGCCTAGAGTTTCAAGATCAAGGTGTTGGTGGGATTTTTTTTCTTCTGAGGCCTTCTCTTCTTGGCTTGTAGATGGTGGTCTTCCCCCTATATTTTTTTGTATGGTCTTCTCTCTGTGTATGTCTGTGCCCTAATCTCTTCTTATTAGGGCACCAGTCCTATTGAATTAGAGTCCATCCTAATGACCTTAGTTTAACTTACTTCCCTCTTTAAAGACCCTCCAAATAGTCCCATTCTGAGATACTGGAATTAGGGCTTCAACACATGAAATTTGGCGGCATGGACACATTTAGTTCATAACAGTATTCCCTGCAGCTCCAGGTGAGGTTCCAGCTGACAGCCTCACCCAGGCAGGAAGTTGGTGAGAAAGCCTTCAAGATGACTCCAGACCTAGGCTTCCTCTGATACAAACTCATGAGAGACTGAGCAAGAACCATTCTTCTGAACCTACTCAGCCTCTAGAACCATGAGAGATAATTAAAAGTAGGCATTGCAGGGCCTCCCCAGTGGCGCAGCGGTTGAGCGCTGGGTTGCGAAGCTGCCCGCAGCCTCTGCAGCGCCGGTTCGATCCCCGGCTGCTCCCCGGCCACCGGAGGAGGGTCCCACATGGCGTGCAGACCTCTCCTGCCGCCCGCTGCTCCCCTCAGCAGTGTACTTTGGTCCTTCTGCCTGCTCTGCTCCCCGCTCTGGCTCTGGTGAATTCTCTCGCCCTCCCACGCTTCTGACTGTACCCAGTGCTTGCATAAATAAATAAATAAATTAAAAAAAAAAAAAAGTAGGCATTGCAATAGGTAACTGGAACACCCTAAAATCAACCTGGTGGTGGAGGGGGCAGGAGTGCAGGGGAGATTGATGGGAATCATCCTAGATGACTAACTCTTGCCTCGCCTCCCTCCCTCCCCACAGCTAGGCAATCACTAGGTCTTCCTGACTTTATGTGCTGCACACTTCTGTATTCCACTTCTGTCCCCATCTTGCTCACCATGAGTCCATGTCAGGACATCTCTCTCCTGACCTAGATGGTCACAGTAGCCTGCTAACACCTGTTCCATCCTCCTCATGTTGCCAGGGTAGTTTCTAATCTGTGGTTCCACCCCCATAACTCCTCTGCTTAGTGCCCTTTAGGGGTCACAAGGAAACCACAGAGCTTTCTTAAGAAAACCCTGAGAAAAGTGCTATTGTAATCTCATGTTGATTACTGTGCAATTCAGGCTAAGTCTGTGTCCTTTAGTATCTGTAAAACTGCTAGTGTATTAAAAGGAGGACATAATAAAATTAAAAAAAAAATCCCAGTTATGAATGTGATGAATTCTAAGAAGGCAAAATTGAAAGGAAATATCTGATAAGACAAGAAGCAAGAGGGAATAAAAAGAAAAAGGAAAACCAAGCCCAGATCCTCTGCTGCTGGGCTTACGTGAAGGGGAGGGACTTCCTGGTCCTAGTGCCTGACACTCTGATATGGAAACCACTAGCCACACATGCTATTGAGCACTTGAAATGTAGCTGGTGCCATGAAAAGCTGAAGTTTTAATTTTACTTCACTTTAATTAATTGCAATTTAATCTTAAAAATTGTTCCTAGCAGTGGAGTATTAATAAGTCCCTTTTTAGTGCGCGGGTGAGGACCCACAGCCAGGCAACCCATTTTTACATCGGGGCTGCTCCGTAACACAAGGAGGC